AACCAAGATTGAACCAGGGACCTATCAGTCCTCAGGCCAATGCTCTATTCACTGAGCCAAACCAGCTAGGGCTGGCCATCTATTTTATACCTCATACTCTAGCCCTGAGCAGATTAATAACTCAGCAAATATTTTTATAGGAAAATTGGAGAACCTGGGATCATTTCTCACACCTCTCTCTTTCAGATCATGGCCCAACCATTGTATTTTTGTCTTCCCTTTCATTAATGTGTGCTGTTCGTTTAGTATTTCCCTTTCTACACAGGGGAGGAAGTTAATTTGTTGTCTAGCTCTTAGTTCTTGAAATGAATACTTAGATCACTGGTCAATGGCTTTTTATTTATAATCACTTTTATAATAGTGATTTAAATAGTGGTATTTATAATAATACCACTTCCAGCACCAATGATTTTCATTTTTTTGCTACACTTTTATTTCCACTGGCAAATTCCTTCCTCAGAGTACTCATTTTTTATAAAATGTCACATGGGCTTATCACTGGAAGACAAGGGAGCAATGCAACTACACACTTTGAGGTCTGTGCTTAAACTGAGTAGCATAAAGACCAATCATTGACAGACTTAGAAAGAAGCAATATGTGTGTCACTGATCATGAAGCACATCTATTATTTGTGTAGTGATGTGTGGACTGAAGAGCTAGTAGAGAAATTTATACTTTATACAATTATAGCTGATATATCATGATAACTGAAATTTGAAACATATGTTTGGTGGTATCTGGTGTTATTTAACTAAATCATGTAACTAATAAAAGCCTACTATGCTAACTGCCAGGTCGTCTGTTCAACCAAATCATAATATGCTAATGATATGCTAAGGCTGCTTAACCACTCACTATGACGTGCACTGACCACCAGGAGGCAGATGCTCTGACCTGTAAGTTAGCTTGCTGCTGGGATCCAGCTAATCAGGACTTAGTGAAAGGGGCTGAACACACCCTGGAGCCCTCCTGCAGTCCCTCCTTGGCCGGGAAACCTCCTGTGTCCCCCCTTGACCCTGATCGTGCACTGGTGGGGTCCCTCTGCCTGGCCTGTGCCTTCTCACAATCCAGGACCCCTCGGAGGATGTCAAAGAGCCAGTTTTGGCCTAATCCTGCTCAACGCAGGAGCTTCCCCCTGGTGGTCAGTCCTCTCCTACATGAAGAGCACCGCTCAGCTAGAAGCTGGGCTCACAGTTGGTAAGTGCAGTGGCCTTGATGAGGACTGCAAGCATCTCTGCAGCAGTTGGACATCCCTCAAGGGCTCCCGGACTGCAAGAGGGTGCAGACTGGGCTGAGAAACACCCCCCCCCCTGAGTGCATGAATTTCATGCACCAGGCCTCTAGTATATTTAATTTATTAGTTATCAGGAAAATTAAAATTAAAATGTAATATCAGTATACACTTACAGGAATAGCCATGGTAGGCAGAATTCTAAGATGACACATGACTGTAGCCCTGGTATAATTACTTCCACTGGGAAAATTATAGGACTTCACTACTATAATTATGTTATGTTACATGGTAAAAGAGATTTTGCAGCTATAATTAAGATTATTAATCAGTTGACTTTGAGGTAATAAAAAAGGATATAATCTAGACTAATCACATGCGTCCTTCAAAAGCAGAGGAATATTTTCCCCAGCTGTTAGGAAAAGAAGAAATTAGATCTGAAGCATGAGAAGTTCTCAATGTAAGGGGTGTTCTCCATTGCTGAGATAGACAGGCTGTGGGTCACTGGCTGTCAGGGAACTCAGAATAGATCTTGATCACTAGCCAGCAAGGCAAAGGAGACCTGTATCCCACTACTGCATGCTAAATTTTGCTAGCAACATATACAAGCTCAGAAATGGATTCTTGACCCATAGAGTTTAGATAAGAGCAAAGATTGGCTACCGTCTTGACAATGGCCTGGAGGGACTTTAATCAGAGAACACAATGGAGCCTTCCTAGACTACTAACATGAAGATCTATGATAGTAAATGTATATTGTTTTAAGATGCTAAATTTGGATATAGCAATAAAATTAATACAGTATTAAATTTTTAAAAAGAAAAAACCTGACAGAACCAAGTGTTGGTATAGATGCAGAACTACTGAAATTCTTATTCTATTTTGGGGAATGCAAGTGAGTACAATCAGTTGAGAAAAGCTGGACGAACATAAAACATATGAATATACCTTAGGAACAATTCATAAGTATTTTTGCAATATAAATTTATGCATCAAAACATTACAAGGAAGTTTATAGATATTTTGAAATAGTCCCAGACCAGAAAAAATCCAAATGTCTATTACCAATAAAATGAGTGTGTGTGTGTGTGTGTGTGTGTGTGTGTGCGCGCGCATTGGCTCAGGTAAAAGTAGTTCTGTAGCTGTTCACATGGAAAATAATTGGGGAAAAAGGAGACATATGTAAAACTTTAGACAATAAAAGAGAATCATGTAGAAAATATATTCACAGAAGGTAAGTCATTTAATTTCTAATATGTGCTCCATAAGGCAAACTAATTAAATTCAGCCTAATAAACCTGAACTATGGCTGTTTTGTAGTAATAATTATAATAATAATAATAACAACAACAACAACAAATATAATAAGCTCTGTTTTGCATGCTTACAACTCTAAACATATTTTTGCCCCACCATATATATTCATACATATAATGTATTATATATATAGCATTCACTGGCAAGTATAAGAATGAACAAATTGAAATAAGCCACATGAAAGAGTACACCAACAAAAGAGTATGATGTAATTTATATTAAGGTTAGAAGTAGATAAACTAATCTGTGGTTATATAAGTAATTATAATGGCTAAGTTTGGAGGCTATAATAGTGATTAGAAAGGGGTACCACAGGATTTTTAGGGTGCTGGTAATGCCCTGTTTATTAATTGTAATGCTGATTAAACAGATGTTCTCATGTTGCAAAGATTAATTTAGCTGTGTATGATTTGTGTTCTTCCCATTCTTCAATGAAAAGCTTTTTTTTAATGAAGGACTGTAAAATGTTGGCAACACCTAGTGAGTGATGACTTAGTTTAGAAAATGATAATTAAGGATAATATAATTATAATGAATGTTTTAGCTTGGTTATCTCTTTAATTTGACTGAAAAGAAAAGTAGAAAAAGGGAAAGTGAGACTAGTTAATAAATAACTTTGACATTTACAATGAATTCTTTCAATAACAACAGTTTGCCGGGAGGAATCGTACAACTCTGTAGTCTCATGTGCTGCCGTAGTGCTCACTCCTATGGAACCAACAATAGAAACGAGGAAAGGAGAAGAGCTAAAATTCCCTGAACCTTCCAAACAGTAAGTTGTTCATTTGACTTTTAGAGCTTTGTAAAACTTGTAGATAACTGAATTAGATTGCTCAGAAGTTGCGGTTTATAATGAATGTGTCAATACTGTCATATGGAGAATGCAGAAGTAAATTTTGCACATTAAAAATCAATCTACTGTCTCATGAATAACTTCTGTGGCTTCCAACTTTGTGTGTTTGAACTATATCCCATCCAAGGGTCGTGTTGTTACTTTATCTTAGGAACCCGAGTAGCTTAGGCTACTCGGGTAAGTAGCCTGAAGCACTTTGTTTCCTTACCTGGGAATGTGGGTGCACTGTTCTTAGATTGCTTATTTTGTAGTTGTAGGATTTAATGCTCTAAAATATGATCAGATTTTAATATAAACTTCCTAGCTTAAAGTTGGTTTGCTTTTTATAATTTAATTTATATTTAAGTTTGATCTTATATGGAATAAGTGATAGTTCTTTTCTTTATTATAATGACAAGAGACCACTAAATCCATGGCCACAAATGTGAGCTATATGGGCTTGAAATATCAAATAAACTAGGATTATTCCTGGGTATGCATTAAATAAGTGAAAAAGGAAAAACTACTGATGATTTTCCAGTGAAAGTAGTGCCATATCTGCTTGAAGTTTGGAAATGAGGTGATGAATGATGTTGCCAAGGATTGCTGGCTGACCACTTCATCAGTGAGGAAGCGTTACCTTAAAGCACCTGTTATTTTTCCCCATTGATAACACTGTATAATAATGTTTGTTTCTTGATGCCTTTCTACTGAATAAACTGAAGACAGAGTTCTCTGGAATGAAAATGCCTGCTACTCTTTCTGAAATCATTTAGAATATCCCTTAATGTTACATCTAAGAATGTTGAGTTCAAATGGAGCAATGTATATATTTGATTGAATGAAAATAGTTAAAGTGTTAATATACTTATTATGAGAGAAGTATTAACCAATTCAGGAAGTAATGATTGTAATTCAGTTTTAATACAATATAAAAGTGAAAACAATTTAACTGTTCTTAATATAGTCTAATCTTTAGGTTCCAAAAGCCTTTTTTTTGTCTAATGGGAGGAAAATTACGTCTCATATACACCAATTGAATTATATTTGAAAACTCTAATGTATTATATATAGTGTCCTCAAAAATATATACACACTTTAAGAGCTGATAGCTTAATTTTGAAAATGGAATGTAGTTTCATAAACACTACTTTTATAATTATTCAAACTGTGTTTGTAGTAAGATATTATTAGAATGCTGTAAGTTGAGACATTATCTTTGAATAACTAGTATTTCCTTTAAATTCATGATGGAATTATTTCTCTATGTAAAATTTTACCTTTAATTGTACAGGCTTTGCATGATAAATGCATAAAAATCCATTGAGTCTTTGAAACATAGGACTCATAGAGTCATATAATTCAAATCTCAGCACATCTGTTCCTAAGAAGTGCAGTAATCTCAGTCTAAGAGCTTCTGAATACATGAGTTTACATAAGAAAAAATATGTAAGATAATGTATCTTTGAGGATGTCATAATCTAGGTAAAGAGGTAAAATATGCACCTAAGAGATCAATAGTGGTATAAAGGCAACAGATGCTTTTTATCTAATGTAAGGTATTGATTTGGGTTGGACATATGATTATTTAATGTTAGGCCACATTTACTGATATATTGATATAAATTCATGAAAACAAACTCAGAATATTGGTCTTAATTATACCATTGTATTGATGTATAATTTTAGAATGTCAGAAATATTTTATGACTGAAATATTTTATATAACCTTACCAACTTTTAGTCATAGTCTGGGGGAAAATAGTCTAATTTTTACAAATAGTTTTTAAATATTCTTATGTATTTATAATTTTGTAGACATTTTCTATAAGGAATAAAGGAAGAATAATGCATTTCAGTTAGGAATGAAATATACATTTTTCAGCGTAGCAAGCTATAGGGAGAAAATATCTAAATCTTTTAGGAAGGAGAGCTGCATTCTGAGCACTGTAGTGGGAGCACTGTTCTCCTGTTGATATTTCTCAAGATCATCTTCATTCAGAAAACAAAGGTACAGATTTTCCTTTACTTTTTAGTCTGGTCTGATAGGTAGCTCGAATACCATGGAAAGGGTAAATGTGCTAGAAAAAAAATCTTGGTGATCCAAAAAGAGTACACAGTTTCCAATTATTTGTTATAAGCATGGGATGTTGGGATCAAAAAGTTGTGAATGCAGAGCTTTATAAAATTATAAAATCCTAATGTTAAAAATATGTGTACATATCCAGCCACACTCTCATGTTACTCGAACTTATACATTTCTCAAATCACAATTATGTGCTTTGAGCAGCTTATGAAATGTACATAAACTTCAAACTTTGAAGAGGGCAATAGAAACCACATTCATGATTAGTTTTGAATTTTATTTTATGTTTTTATTAGAAATGTTTGTTGAAATGCATGTACTCTGTGTGTGTGTGTGTGTGTGTGTGTGTGTGTATTGACTCAACATCTGAAATAAAAGCATTTTATGGTCATTGTAAATTTAGAAAGATAAAGGTGAATATGAGAGAGATAAATTATTCTATTACTTTTGTCAATTTCCATGTTTTTATTTTATATAGAGAAATCTAAA